AAAGGCCTTAGCGATGTTAAATTGCGAAGATTTTGAGCTTTGTCGATGGGCGTGTCCGTGGCGGCCTCGCAAACTTTGATGATTCGCCACAAAACAGGAAGTCGTTATAACTTAGGCATGCATTATCCGATCTGCCTTAAAATTCACACGTTTGATAAGAGTCCTGACCTGAACATGTTTACATGCCAATATCCAGATATAGTTATAGCGCCACCTGCTGGCCACAGGAAATGACATGATTTACAGTGTAACAAACTCCTCCCACAAATTTTATCATATCAGCACCAAATTTGAGTGGTGTTATCTGAAAGCTCTAGCAATGATATATTGTGAAGATCTAGAGTTTTCCCAGGGGGGGGTGTCTGTCGCGGCATGACAAACCTCAACGCTTCGCCATGGAACAGGAAGTCCTTAAAACTCAACCACACAATGTCCGATCAGCGTGAAACTTAACATGGTGGATAAAAGTCCTCTTCTGAACACATCTACATAACAATATTGAGTCTGTCATAGCGCCATCTGCTTGCAGAAGGTAGTTTTGCTTATAACTCAGCCCCACAATGTCTAATCTGCCTGAAACTTCACATGGTTGATTAAATTCCTCTTCTAAAGACATCAACATACCAACATTAAGACAGTCAAAGCGCCACCTGCTGGCAGAAGGTAGTTTGGCTTATAACTCAGCCACAAAATGACTGATCTGCCTGAAAATTCACATGGTTGATAAGATTCCTCTCCTGGGGTCCGTTCTTCGTACCTCGCTTAAATGATCTAAGATTATTTGGCAGATCCCGGATCTTTTAATCTTGATAACTGATCTCTGTCTAATTTGGTTCTTCAAACGAGTTCGCGAATCAGATTAGAATGTCTGGATAAACTGATCTGAGATCGCTGCGTGTGTTGTGAAGGACAGATCTATAGATCCTCGAAATCATGATCAGCAATGCAACGATTGGCTGACGGCACAGCAGCGTAATGACATCATCTGATTAATATTCAATTATCCATGTGAGCAAAATTACATCAAATTAGCAGTAAACGGCTTGTTAAATATGACACGCAAGAACTTTTTCACATTTGTTGTGAGCTGCAGGCTTTCCACTTTCATGTGTCAAGTGTATTCATCATGTATTTCATTGCAAATCAATGTATTTATTTCTACATTTAGAAAAGGTTTTCTTTATTATAGTAGCTGTTTTTTAATCGGTGTAAAGAATAACTGGTTGTTTACAAAAGCGTTTTCATATTGGTAAAGGCGTCTGCAACTTTTGTGAAGCATCAAATCACTGGCATATTAACTATCAAAACATGTTTATGATTGCTGAAATGTATTATTGCTTTAAAAAAGTCACATATTGTGCATTTCTATCATACACAATTTGTACTAAAGCGATCTAAAAAGTTCATATCAATACGTTTTCTCTTTGCACCAGGTGGCAGTCTTTGTACTTTCATTTCGAGGGTGCAGATTGCATACGTTTTATTAAAACGTATAACTTAATTTATTTTATTAATGACTATAACTTTATATATATAGTTAAAAAATATGTACCATTTTCCCAAGTGTATATAACTACTACTGTAAGAAAATATCAGAATTCGGAACATACTTTCTGTATTATCTTTGCTTGAACTGAGCCGATCTAATCCTGTTTATATGAATTGAACCTGCTCCCGATCAGGTTTGACCTAGCAGAACTGTTGCCATGACAACAACTCTCGGATCAGCTTTGAAGAACGAAACGATCCTGGATCGTGTCAAATCGTCAATATCCAAATCCAGCTAACTGAGTAATCCACGTACGAAGAACGGACCCCTGAAGACATCTACATACCAATCTTGAGTCACAGTCATAGCGCCACCTGCTGACAGGAGGAAGTTTGGCATGAATCTATGATTTTCTCTGCTTCTTTATATATATATATAGGCTTAAAATATTATTGTTCGCTGTTCTTTGCCATCCTGAGGCCACAGGGTGGCGGTGAGCCCGGGTGCGAGGTCCCTATCATCGCTGCTTGCAGCTTTAATTATTCTTCTTCTTCCGCGGAATGAATCGCTGTTTTGAGGGGCTAAACATGCCCGAAAACTCACGCAACTTTGCACACGCCTCAGAAGTGGCGAAAATTTACGTTTGTTATGGGCTTCGGAAGTGGGCGTGGCAAAATGACTCGACAGCGCCAACTAGAAAAATTAAACGGACAAGCCCCCGATCCACAAATCACGCACATGCACGAAAATTGGCACACACCTCAAACATGCCAAAACATACGAAAAAGTCTCTTGGAGCCATATCTCAAACCCAACAGGAAGTCGGATATTTTGTACTTCCTGTGGCGAAAAAGTGGCGTTTTTGCCATTTCCAGGCGTTGTATTTTAACAAACTCCTCCTAGGGATTTTATCCGATCGACACCAAAATTGGGTTTTGTCATCTAAAGGCCTTGGCGATGTTAAATTGCGAAGCTTTAGAGTTTTCGTCGATGGGCGTGTCCGTGGCGGTCTCGCAAACTTTGACGATTCGCCACAAAACAGGAAGTCGTTATAACTCAGGCATGCATTATCCGATCTGCCTTAAATTTCACACGTTTAATAAGAGTCCTGACCTGAACACGTTTACATGCCGATATCCAGATATAGTTATAGCGCCACCTGCTGGCCACAGGAAATGACATGTTTTACACTGTAACAAACTCCTCCCACAAATTTTTTCGTATCAGCACCAAATTTGAGTGGCGTCATCTGAAAGCTCTATCGGTGATATATTGTGAAGATCTAGAGTTTTCGGAGAGGGGCGTGTCCGTGGCGGCATGACAAACCTCAACGCTTCGCCATGGAACAGGAAGTCCTCATAACTCAACCACACAAAGTCTGATTAGCCTGAAACTTCATATGGTTGATAAAAGTCCTCCCCTGAACACATCCACATAACAATATTGAAGTGGGCGTGGCAAAATGACTCGACAGCGCCACCTAGAAAAATTAAACGGACGAGCCCCTGATCTACGAATCACGCACATGCGCGAAAATTGGCACACACCTCAAACACGCCAAAACATACGAAAAAGTCTCTTGGAGCCATATCTCAAACCCAACAGGAAGTCTGATATTTTTAACTTCCTGCTGCAAATAAGTGGCATTTTTGCCATTTCCAGGAGTTGTATCTTAACGAACTCCTCCTAGGCATTTTATGCTATCGACACCAAAATTGGGTTTTGTCATCTAAAGGCCTTGACGATGTTAAATTGCTGAGCTTTATAGTTTTTGTCGATGGGCGGGTCCGTGGCGGCCCCGCAAACTTTGACGATTCGCCACAAAACCGGAAGTCATTATAACTTAGGCATGCATTATCCGATCTGCCTCAAAATTCACATGTTTAATAAGAGTCCAGACCTGAACACGTTTACATGCCGATATCCAGATACAGTTATAGCACCACCTGCTGGCCACAGGAAATGACATGATTCACAAAGTAATAAACTCATCCCACAAATTTTTTCGTATCAGCACCAAATTTGGTGGGTTGTTATCTGAAAGCTTAAGTGATGATATATTGTGAAGATCTAGAGTTTTTGCAGAGGGGCGTGTCCGTGGCGGCATGACAAACCTCAACGCTTCGCCGTGGAACAGGAAGTCCTTATATCTCAACCACACAAAGTCAGATCAGCCTGAAACTTCACATGGTTGATAAAAGTCCTCTCCTGAACACATCCCCAAAACAGTAATGAGTCAGTCATAACGCCATCTGCTGGCAGAAGGTAGATAGGCTTATAACTCAGCCAAACAACATCCGATCTAACTGAAACTTCACATGGTTGATTAAATTCCATTACTGAAGGCATGTACATGCCAATCTTAAGTCACAGTTATAGCGCCACCTGCTGGCAGATGGTAGTTTGCATTATAACTCAACCACACAAAGTCCGATCTGCCTGAAAGTTCACATGGTTGATAAAAGTCCTCTCCTGAACACATCTACATAACAACATTGAGTCTGTCATAGCGCCACCTGCTGACAAAAGGCAGTTTGGCTTATAACTCAGCTAAACAATGTTCGATCTGCCTGAAGCTTCACATGGTTGATAAGATTCCTCTCCTGGTGACATCTACATGCCAATCTTGAGTCACAGTCATAGCGCCACCTGCTGAGAGGAGGAAGTTTGGCATAAATCTGTGATTTTCTCAGATTTTTTAAATATATCGGCTTAAATTATTACTGTTCGCTGTTCTCTGTCATCCTGAGGCCACCGGGCGGCGGTGATCCCGGGTGCGAGGTCCCTATCATCGCTGCTTGCAGCTTTAATTGAATTTATTATTTAAACATATATGCTTAAAATGTAACTTCAATTTGTTTAAATTTCTATAGGTGTCAGTTCTGGATGGAGTTATTTGCAGACCTTAGAGAAGCTGGATACTTCAACAGGAGTCATGAGCATCAGTGCCTATTGAGATATTGCTTTGGGGATGTTATTCAGAAGGACTTGGATGAGTGTGCGAGGTTGTGGAACAGTCACAGGATTCGTCGTTCCAGAACAGCAGCATGTCCAGGAGGAGTGCCCAATGAACTCTACTACTTACCACAAAGGTGATACATTAGTGTTAAACAGATAAAAGCAATATTCTAATGTTTTAGCTTAAACGAAAAAAAAATCCTTAAGTTTTCTATTTAACATAGGTTTGGCTCCAGAGACTGTGGATTTCAGATCGAACCAGCTGAACTGGATGTCCTTCCTGAGGCTAGCCTGTCAATGACTCCTTGTGGGGACCCAAACATGCAGGAGTACTTGGACTTTGCTATGGAACACAATCAGTTACAGAAGCCAGAGAACTGGGAATCTGCATCAGAACTGTACATGAAACTAAAAGAAATGGCTCAGCTATGAAATTATCAAAAAAGGAGGGGTATTGTGGTGGTGGAATACTGCTGTCTGTCTAAACGCAATGATTATGTATGTCACCCACAGCTTAATTGTTTTTTTAAAGTGAAGTAAATAAACCAAAAAATAGTAACAATAATTTATTAATTTTCTGTAGTATATGAAACAAAACTTCTTGAACTACTTTTTTTTTTTAATCTTTTTTCCTTCTGTGCTTTATAAAGGTATTCCAGTTTAGGAGTCACAAATCTAGAACATTTTCCATAAATTGACATGAGAAAATTTTCCTCACCTACTTTTACTTTATAAAAGACTATTTTTGCAACTGCACTTTAAAGTGAACATTAAAACAACATTCAGTCTTAACTCTAGGGTCTTCCATCATTTAGCTTAAAAACAGCCAAATCCTGGACTATTTTGAATTCCAAAGTCCATTTGTGACTTAAACAAATTGTATGAGTTAAGCAGTGGTAATTTCAAGGTGTTTGCACATGTATTTGCCATTGGCAATGCAGAGTTATCCAGGAACTGTATTTTTGGCGGTGGTTCCAAGCCAGATGGGGGAAGTGAAGACAGCCCAGTAGCGAACATCAAAACACCTTCCACAGACACAGCATCCTGGCCTTCTGCAAAAAAAAACAAGAACAATTCAGACACATAATTAGGGGTTTAAGCACAATTAGTATTGGTCTTTTTTTCCTTCTGTGATTTAGGTAGTTACATGATTGCTAAATAAAACATAGTCTTTTGATGCTTATTCACCTAAAGGCCAGATATGCTTGAACCCTGATAAATGTGAAATTTAACTGCAATGTGTGTTTTTTATAACTAGTCAAGAAAACACATGGCAGTTAAATTTCACATTTATCAGGGGGTAAATAACAAAACTTCACAATCAAGGAGATAGTCTGCCCATTAGCCCATGGTTTGACTTTCTTTAAGTCTTCGATTACTCCCCGGAGGACTGAGGTCGGGTTTGAAGAGTATCTTAAGGTCAAAAGCAGCAAGGGGCTTTTCAGAGTGGCACAAGACAGGGGCCAACAAAGTAGGGTGTTGCTGTAGTGCAGTCTAAAACTCCAGAGTTCAAAGACCCTGCCTGAATCTAGAGAGTGAACACAACATTGCTTCACTGCTGTATAGTGACAATGAGCTCTATGCACAGCAAGAGTTTTAAACCCAATGATAAACTTTCAGTAAATGCTTAAATGTGACTATTTTCAATTTCACAAGGTTGTTTTACAGCATTGATGTTGTAATGTAACTACAATACATTCAGTTATATAGACTTCAGCATTTATTTAGTTCAAGCGTAAAAAGAGGTAAAAGACCGTTATAACCACTAATGCCGTCAGTAGCAACAGGCTGGCGCAGAAATTCCATTGAAAATACTGGGGTAAAATAAACTGACAAATGCACTTTCAAAACTTTGTTGTTATAAATTTAATTTAAAATATAACTTCAAACTTTTCCCTCATCAGTATATACACACAATATGTCAATGACAAGAAGAAAGTTAAGAAATTCTAACAAATATAATAATAATAATAATAATAAAATAATGTGATAAAGACAATCTCATCACTACAAATATCATCTTACCTGTCAATTACAGATGCGTTGCGGTCAATAACATACCATTTTAGGTAGTCTGAAACTATTTCTCTCTTTTCCTCCACAGTAGCCACTTCAAGAGTTCACACTTAGCTGATGATTGATTATAAGCAAGTTTGGCATGCTGTCCCGGGAGAGAGCCCTGAGCTCGAAGGTTCTAGAGCCCTGGGCTCCCTCCCGTTTGGAGGTAGAGAGGGGAGCCTCGAGCTCAGGTAGATCTCGACAACTCCCCTTTTTATAATAGCTAAAGATTAAGATTGAAGGCTATTAAAAGATATGCTGCATTGTTAGATTACCTGTATTGAAATTTAGATTTAACGATTAACTTGTTGTGCATGTTTTTGGAATGTGGGAGGAAACTGGAGAACCCGGGGAAAACCCACGCAAGCACGGGAAAAACATGCAAACTACACACAGAAACGACCACCGGCCTGTTAAGGAACTAGAACCGGTGACGTTCTTGCTGTGAGGCGACAGTGCTAGTCACTGAGCCACCGTGCTGCCCTATGGAGGGAAAGGTGAAAAGGTAGGGGTGGAAGGGGGGATTCTTCAAATCGAAGATGACTGTAGTGAGAAAACCCTGGCTCTTTATAGTGGTTAGGAATGGCCTGATTGGTGGATCAAGCATGCTAATGCAGAACCAGCCGTGTTCAATCATAATCACATGCTCCTCTCGAAATTAGTTTATGAATAAACTTCACTTCAAGAGTTCACACTTAGCTGATGATTGATTATAAGCAAGTTTGGCATGCTGTCCCGGGAGAGAGCCCAGAGCTCGAAGGTTCTTGAGCCCTGGGCTCCCTCCCGTTTGGAGGTAGAGAGGGGAGCCTCGAACTCAGGTAGATCTCGACAACTCCCCAAAATGCTCCGCTCGGGACAGCAGCCGCATATTTGAAGAACCCCCCCAAAACGCACATGAGATTAATGCCATATCCGGCTGCTGAAAAGTGATACAGAAATAGCTTGGAGGAGCAACAGAGACTGGTGTGGGTGTAAAAATTAACTGAAAGTGCTTATGTATGACTATGTGTGCTCCCGGGGCCGGTTAATTGTAAGGACCAGCGGGAGAGTGAGTGGGGTAAGTGTAAAGGTTTAAAACATATGTGGTGAGTCTCATAAAGGTTTAGTATAGTAGTGATGGAAAATGAAGCTGTAAGGTTCTGCGGAGCTGTAGCTGCAGATGAGAAGCGGTTAACTGATTAACCGCTTTGGCAGTCCAATGGGGGGTGTGTCAGTAGTGGTATGGATAAATGGTAGTGTGCGTGAGCTCCGGTGGAGCGACACTGCTGCAGCAGTGGTGCAGGGGGGATGAAGCTCGGCTGAGCGTTTTAACTGCTTTAGCAGTGCTGGGAGTGACAGAAGTGGTATAAATGTTATGGAAGTGTGCATGAGCTCCAGCAGAGCGTCACTGCTGCAGCCGTGGTGCAGGGGATGTAAATGATGCTCAGCTGAGCGTCTCTGCTGCTGCAGAGGTGCAATGGAAGTCAGTATCTGGAAGGTAAATACGCCTCCGCAGAGACGTTTAACTGCTTTGGCAGTGCTGGAGAGTGTATCAGTAGTGGATTGCTAAGTGGAAGTGTATATGCGCCCGCTAAGCGTCACTGCTGCGGCAGTGATGTAGAGGGGAGTGATGCACGGCTGAGCTTCTCTGCAGCTGCAGAGGTGCGGTGGAAGTCAGTATCTAAAGGGAAGTGCGCTTTGGAGAGCTGATTAACAGCTGTGTAGCAGATAGGAATCAGGCACAGTAGAGCGACTCTGTGGCTGCAGGGGTGCATAGGTATTCAGAGTCTGGTGCATTATATGTGTGAAAGCAATACATGTTCCCGCTAAGCCTTTACAGCTGTATTATAGCGGGGAGTGTGGTGATGGAAAATAAATTGATACTACAATGCAATGTAATTAAGTGGAGCTGCTGTAAAAGTGTGATGGTGGTCAGTATGTAAGCAATACGAGTTCCCGCTAAGCCTTTATGGCTGTATCGTTGCGGGGAGTGTGGTGATGGAGAATAAATTGATGCTACAATGCAATGTAATTAAGTGGAGCTGCTGTAGAGGTGTAATTGTAGTCAGTATGGAAGCAATACGAGTTCCCGCTACGCCTTTACGGCTGTATTATTGCGGCGGAGTGTGATAGTGGTTAAATTTTTGAAAAAAAGTGTACATGTGAGCTCTTAAAGAGCTTCACTGCTGTGGCAGTGGGAGCTTGGGGCTACCCCTGTGGGAGTCCAAGCTGCGGAGAATGAGTGTAAGTGAAATTGAAAAATTATGAAGAGGAAGAGAAGTTTAATAAAATAAAAAGGAAAGTTTAGTAAAAATGAGTCTTATGCAACTAAGACAGAAAGTAGGAAGAACAGACAGAGTCGTGCTGCTTGGAAACTAGGTTGAAGTCTGCAACCGAGAATCAGCTGGGCTTCTCTGAGGAAATATTGGCTGAGGCAAATTGAGGATTTAAAGGTGTTAGAGGACCAATGACAGAGTTTATATCTGTTATTGGAAGACTGTTCAGGCAGGGCGTCACTGCTGCAGGATTGGTGCAGGGGAAAAAATAATCTCAGCAGAGCTTCTCTGCAGTTACAGAAGTGCAATAAAATCAGTGGTTCATAGAATTAAGGCTAAACAGCCGTCTCTGCAGTTGCAGCTCAGGCAAAGCTTAACTGTTGCAGCAGTGGTGCAGAGGGAGAATAAGGCTCGGCAAAGCCTCTGTGCAGTAGCAGAGGTGCAGTGGTACTCAGTATTAGAGCCTCACACGGAAATACTAAGTACTATTAGCAGTGATATTTAGAGATGAAAGTGAAAAAGGGGCTCAGCTAGAGCGTCACTGCAGTTGCAGTGATGTTAATGGGGTGTATAGTTAAGTGGAGCACCTAAACAGTCGATATTAGTAAGTTTTGAGTGCTCCCACAGGGACGTTAAATACTGCCTTTAGTGATATGTAAAGATGAAGGTGAATAAGGCATATGCTAGAGGGTCACTGCGGTAGCAGTGGTGCTTTGGGTGTGCAACTCTGCGGAGCATTTCTGCGGCTGCAGTGGTGTAGTGGGCCAGTATGGAGGCAACTTGTGCTCCCGCAGAAGCATTTACTGCTGTATTAGTGCGGGGAGTGCAACGATAGTGGTATTTAGAAAATTTGTAAGTGTATGCAAGCTCATTTAGAACGTTCCTGTTGCAGCAACTGAAACTCAAGACAACCCCTGAATTGGTCGGAGCTGTGGTGAATGAAAGTGAATAGAAGTATAGGATAGTTTAAATTTGGAGAGAAAAAGTTAAAGCTAGAAAAACAGAGAAGGATAGTGAAGGAGCTCCTATGTTAAATAGGAAGGGAAATAGGAAGGAAATGACAGAGTCATACTTCATACCCAATAATGCATGATGGTGGAAGTTGGCTGGAGAGGATCGGCTGGGCTTCCCCGAGGTGGTATTGCTCTTCTGTGGTGTAAAAATGCTAAGAGGTTTAGAACCAGGGCCGGAGTGGGACACCTTTTCAGCTCTGGAGTTTCAAGCCTCAGACCAGCCCACCTCAGTTCACGACTGACTATATTAAAATAAATAAATATTTCCAAATCAGTTTCTAATGGCACTATCATGTCTTTTTTTTTTTTTTTTTTTTTTTGAGAAAACAGCTGCTTTAGAACTTCAAATGTTCTACAACCCTAACAGTATTATATGTCTTATCAATAAAAATGAAAACACTAAATTACTCTAGCAAGGATCGAATCCGGGTCCGCGGCGTCTTAACCTAATGTGCTAACCACTCGACCACAACAACAACAAAAGAGAAAAGTTGCGGTAAAATAATGAATAAAAAGGCTGTGGTCAAGTAAATAAATTAAAAAAGTGTCACTGCTGAGAGCAACAGATTCTGGAGCTAGGGACACCGGCCCTCGCGGCCAAAAAAAACCGGACCGGCCCACCGGGAATTCTCCCAGTCCTCCCGATTAGCCAATCCGGGCCTGTTTAGAACGGGTGTGTGGGGGAACGGATATCATCCTGCATCCTTTCATCCTGCGAAGATAGATCAGATATGGTTAGGTGTATTGTTGGATTGAAATGTCATACTTAGTTCAGAAGACTTAAATTAAAAAGGCTAGTGTGAATATGGCATCGAGGGTGTGGGCTATGTGAGTGGAAAAGTGTCATTTGCAAAGAGTGTAAATGTATTTAGAAATGGATGTGGAGTGTAATAGGTTGGATGAGGGTCAGCTTCTGCAACCAGCTGACATGATCTCTGAAATGAGAAAAACAAGAGAGAATCAGAAATGACATTACAACATGGTACATGTATGACAAACACAATGAATTATTTTAGCTGATAACCATGCGGGGCGTCTTAATAAGAGCATGGGCAACTAAGTGTGGAAGTGCCTTTGTTAATGCATGGTATGAAGCCTCATTGTCGCAACGAGCAAAGATAGAAGGGGTAGGCATTTGTCCCTCCTAAGGATGGCAGATTAAATGGGAAATCTGCTCGTCTAGTGGTCCTGATGTACCTCTTGAAGACAGGGTAGGTGGAATTATAGTGGAGTTTAAACCCCTTGGTTTGTATCTAAAGCAGAGTCAATTTATGAAACATCAGACATGTCAGAAATGTCCTTTAATTCGTGGAAGCGGGAAGTTTGTTTCTTTGCCGTTTTCACATCTAACCAACTTGCCATTATAAGCTTATGGCTTATAAGTGTATGGACATGAGTCACTGGGGCATATTACGATTGGACTTCTATGCCTAATGCGTTGAATGTTTTTCAGTAGCAGAGTAAACTTTTTAGAAGTTAAACTGCTATCAGATGTGGCAGTTTTTTTTCCCTTGATTTATACATTATATAATTATTTATTTACTTTATTATTTATTTATTTATTAATTTATGTATTTATTTATTTATCATCTGCCAACATCAAACCCTGAACTTAAAATTAATGTCACCATTTAGTAGTAATTGTGTAAATGTAATGATAATCATTCATGAGCTTGTCATGAGAGAGGGTGGGACCATCTCAAATTTTTTGAGAGTTCATTGGATGGTGACGCTTCTCCTTTCAGCTATTGGCTCGTAGGAGTGTCAATCAAAGTTGCAGAAAAAGGCTGGCGGCCATTTTGTTTGCCAGAGAACTAGTGTTATGATTGGAGACGCTACTCTATTAAATGCACCACAGCGACTAGTTTGGAGGATTAACATGGATGTTTATCAATGTATGCATAAGTTGTGGACTGATGTTTTAAGGATTGGATTGTCTAGAACCTTGATTGAGAGGTGAGTCATTCTATTCACGCTAGAATCATCCTTTAAAGATGGATGTTTAATCTTAGTTGTAGTTTGTGAGACTTCCCCTTAAAAAGTGTCATGCATGTTACCGCTGGTGCACCCCTAGAAGAGAGTTCAGCTTGGATCGCAGGCATCGAGAGTTTAGGCAAAGTTCATGGATGGTGATCGAGTTTTTACTGTGATCTTGTTGGAGAATTGGGTTGAAGACACAGAGATTGCATTGTGTGAGGCAATTTGAAGTAGAAGGTTGAGAAGTTGTAGTTGGATAAGTTGTTGAAGTTGTTGTTGTAGAAGTTGATGTAGCTGGAGAAGTTGTTGTTGTTGTTGTTGTTGGAGAAGTTGATGTAGCTGGAGAAGTTGTTGTTGGAGAAGTTGATGTAGCTGGAGAAGTTGCTGTAGCAGCTGATGCAGAGCAGTGTATTCTTCAAATCGAAGATGACTGTAGTAAGAAAACCCTGGCTCTTTATAGTGGTTAGGAATGGCCTGATTGGTGGATCAAGCATGCTAATGCAGAACCAGCCGTGTTCAATCATAATCACGTGCTCCTCTCGAAATTAGTTTATGAATAAACTTCACATGTCTCAGACAACCTGCTGTCTGTAACATTGTGCTGTGTCTCATCATACATTCGTGCAGAGAATCCAATGAAGCAGCATTCTCAATCTGAAACAAATGAAAAGGGCCATAAACACCCCAGTCAATAACTAAGCACTGTAACTTTTTGCCTATTTTTTAATGAGATACATACACAGCATAGTGTATATAGTGGATATAGCAAGTAAACACTGTCTCAAATCACTGCAGAAACTATAAGAAAATCTGCCCTACCATACTGTAGCCTTACGCTATTCTCACCTCTTGCAAAGCTTTACTTATTTCTGCATCAGTTATTACATTAATCGGTGCTTTGAATAAAGGCTGGCCTGCAAGATGATGTACAAGATCTTTTGATAGGAAATGGGGTCCTGGACCTCCATGCACAACTGACACAGCAATCATCTTTCCTGCCAGGTAGTATTCATCCTCCCTAACAGCTGTAAATAAAGTCATATTGCAAAACAAACAATGGATTATATACTGTTATATAAACGCATTTGTCATGTGATATATATGGTCAATGACCATTAACCAACCATTAAGTAGCCTACAGTACACATCTAACCCATTTGCATACCGTTTGCATTGTAGGCCAAGAATCGATGTCCTTATGGTCCATCAAAAATGGGCCGGTCTTTTAGGTGTTTCATTAATAGAGTTAAAAACTCTCGTCTTGGACCTCCAGTGTCAAGTCCCTCCTCCAGAACACCAGTATCATCCGTAAATTTGACCAGCATGTCACAGGTTTCAGAATATGTTGTACGCTTGAAACCTCTGACAGCCCCATCCCAAACATTAGCCCTTGAGATGTTGAACCGGCTGACCATTTTATGATCAATAGGAAGTGACAGGTTTGCTACAATGTCAGGTAATGTAATGTCCGTCTCCTCCCTGTAATGACAAAAAGTGACTTAATTTGTGTATATTCCAGATATACCAGAACTATTGTACAGTGAAAAAACAGGAGTGCTATAGTAAAAATCTGTCATATTACATTGCTGTGTGTTGGAAATTATTCACATTGACAGCAATTGGCTCTTCGTTTTCTTGCTCAACATTTGGTGAATACAGGTCTGTGTATTTACTGTTGGGGATTTATTATTTTCATGTTAAAACATCTTATAAACCAAAATGTCCTCCTCATATAATCAGTAATATAAATTTCAATTCTGTCAGCCATTATGATTTTTTTTTACCTGTAGCAAGAAGTATTTTCTGGACCCGTTTCAGGTGGATCCAGATCCTCATCATCAGATATCGTTATCTGAAAAAAAAAGATTAAAATGTCTGAAACAAATGAAAGACTGAAACACTGAAAGCAAAAAATGTCATGATGCCAGTCTGCCTTATTACCTGTCCTGGCTGAATTGTTGATGAATGTCTTGGAGCATCTCTGAAACATTATCAAAATGATTAGCTCTATGATGAAGGCTATAATGTAGTTTTGAGTAAAATGTAATAGTTAATGTAAAAAAAATTAAAAGACGAAAAAAAAATTGTGTTATACATGACATTACACAAATGGTATTTTCTGTTTCAAGTTCATCAGAGCAAAGTTCATCATGCAATTTGGCATCTAGGGTTCATCTATGATTCTAACCGATAAAATTTACATTTATTAATTTGGCAGATGCTTTTATCCAAAGTGACTTACAAATAGTATGCAGTGGACAGATGTAACTGTAGAGTGAATGGGGTAAGGTGCCTTGCTCAAGTGCACTTAGGTCATGGGTTGCTGGCACAGAGAATCGAACCAGCAAACTTCTGCTTACAAGCCCAACTCTCTAACAACCAGACCTCAACTGTAATGAGAGGCAATGGGTCTTTTCTAGTGGCCAAGGTGTTCTGGGCTAGAGTGGGTGTTTTGAATATCTTAAAACCTACAGTCAAATCATGTAAACATCATGTAAGACACACCCAAGATTCCTATTGGTTGACTAACACTAGAAAAAAAAAATCTCTCATTACATCCCCCACTTTATTCTCACATGTTTTTTTTTTTATTGTTTTGATTATTTTTTTACTTGTGTTTATTCCCTTGCAAGAGCTTGTTGTTCTGTTTTTAGGACACACCAATAAGGTCTAGCAGGTAAATTAAGTAAAGCAGTTGTGGGTCCTTTAGGTAGGGTGTGAGGGGGCACCTCAGCCAGTTACAGAAACAGTCTGCAGCATGTAGCAACATGGAGCTTATGTGCAGTCTTGCTGTATTTCCAGCAAAACAAAAGTGGTAAAACATCTCTAAAACAGCAATATAAACGTAAAATGTGTATGTGAAAAAAGTAGTGAAATATCTGCTAGTACTTTTATCACAATTTTGCGAGTTAAATGAAAAAAAATTAAATTGCCCTTTGCCTGGTAGTGAAAGCCCTGTAGCCCAAAAAGAAATGAGTTATTAGTATTATTTCCAGAAAAGAAGTAAAGAAAAATATTTTCAACCCATACATGCTGAAAGTTCCTACCTTTCATCTTCCAGTTTGAGTTTGGGAGTACTTTGATTTTGTGGTTCAAAAACCTAAAAGTAAACGGGTAAAATTATTAACAATTTTCAACAGCTCCATTACTGTTCCATTACCACATACAGCATATATTAAAGCTGGATGGTTTCCTGTAATACTGTATAATAGTTACTGCAAAATAATCAAAACTAACATTTTTTCCAATAAATTGTTGACCAAGGCAAATATTTTATGTATAAAATACAATGTAAATCTAATAAACAACTACAAACAAACATAAATTAAAAAAAATAAATAACTGATGTACCAAAGAGTCAGCTTGATTGAATTCAGCTGTGCTCCTTGTTGTGATGACGATTTCAGAGTCGAAGTCTGAGTCTGAGGTATCATCCACTGAAAAAAATAAATCAAACATTATCTATACTCCAGCAGTAAATATGCAAAAAAAATATTGATTCATGAGATCCACCAACCTCTTTTATAGTGTTTTTCTAGACAAATGAAAAAAGTGATCCTGGCATATGCCTTTCCTATTTCCTTTTTATATTCTGACAATTTGAATGGCCTGTCTGATCCAGGCACATAGTCCACCTCTGAGCAGTCTGGATACAAAAGTACGTAAGGTCCTTCTGGCATGTCCTTGTTAAATGTTCTTATTTTCTCTACAGCATGTTTTAGCAAATCAGGTGCTGCTACGTCGGGGTCTGTAAATAAGGGAAGTGTTTTCCCCCTTAGAGGTTTTAAATCACTTCCATGTGGCACCATCACTCCTACATTTATCTAGTAAAATAACAAAGATTTTTATTAATGTAACGTTATACACGGGTAAAATAAATATACACATACACACATATAGAGAGCATTGTATAGGATGGTCAGTACAACTTACCTGGACTTGTTTTCTTTCTTTAGGCTTGTATCTTCCTTTTGGCCCATAGTTACAAGATTGCCGTTCATTTGACTTTAGGTTTCTGTACTCCATGAAACGTTTGTATGATGGGCATGGTTGTTCTGCTGAAAAGGACAGAGTTCCGTTTCAAAGTAGAAAGATGTAAACCGCAAAAAATCATTATTAGCACTAATGGTTTTATTCACATGGCTTCAAATAGCTAGCCTTTTGCTACACTAAAAATAACAAATAACAACTTACCTTGCTTGGCACGGTCCGGCGGTCGAGACATCCCAGGTGTTTCCGTCTGGTCTGCGTCCTTTAAAAACTCGAAACATCTACCGAACGTAAAACAAAACCGCGTTAGAGTACTCATGTGTTTGCCACAAAACGGGCAAAACATCCCTCGACCGCAGTTTTTATTCGGCCACCATAAACTTCAATTGCTCCACAACACGAATTAACCGCTCTCACCATCAACGACCACTACGCTTCACTCGTCACTTCCGGTGTGTGGTACATTCCGCGTCACTTCCGGTAGGTGGTATATTCCCTTTCCGTAGTGAATCTGTAATTGTAAATTTGTTTCGGGATTTGTAAAAGTGTTTTGCGTCTTGTAAATTTTTTTTCAAAAATGTAAATTTGTTTCGTCCTTGGTAAAATTGTTTTTCCTATGTAAATGTGTCTAATGATAAGTAAAAATGTTTTCCAAAATGTAAATTTGTCTCGAGCTTTTTAAAAGTGTTTCACACTTTGTAATGTTGTTTTGCACTTCCCAGCCACCGTAGCATACAGTTATTTTCCTCCCTGCAAAGGAAAGAGAAATAAATACAATAGAATAAAAATTTTGAACAAACTGTGCTTTAAGCATCTTCACTGTATAAAAAAACACTTTAGCTACACAAGTCCTCAGTCAAGCGCAAAGAGGGATTTTCTCGTTGTTTTATTAATCATGATAAAACAGGCGGCAGCTATTGTGCTCTGTCACTTTAATGGTTTCGCTTTCACGTGTCTTTTGATTCTTAACTCGTTTGTTTATTACAAATTGAGGGCTTATATGAATAATCACTAAACACTGCGTTTTGACACCTATTTGAACATTAAATCGCTCACGTTAATGATTTTAGATGTGTGTGCTCTCTGCTCGTCACAATGTGCTAATGAGACCAAGTGCTGACTGTTTCTGCGTGCCGCACACACACGCGCATAAGCATGCGGTCTTTCGCGCTTTTAAGAGCAACAAGTGAGGACAACTGGAAAGGGGGCAGTAAATAATGAAATAATCGTTTATCTCGATTAATGCATTTTCATAATCGTTAGAAGCTAGGGACATAACGGTATCAGAATTTCACGGTATGGTAATACCTCGGTATGAATGGCACGGTACGGTATTTATTAAATAATTTACAGGAAAAACAAAACTAATGAAAAGACTTTGAAAAAAGTGCCAAAAGTGTTTATTTACCTTAGCACTGAACATATCAATGACATACAAATTAGCCATGTATCTGTAAGTTTTAAAACAGGAACTTTAATTTTTCAATTTTAATAACAAAAAACTATTAAACCATGTAAAAAAAATAAAGTTTCAATTTAGTATTATTGAAAACTCATCACATTAGACATTTAATCACTCACTCACTTAGATAGGGTTTTTAAAGGAAAATTATCATATAAATATAATCTGGTAAAAGCTGGGATCTCTGGGCATGTCCCACGCAACAGAAAAAAAAACCCTCTCATTTGGGACTGAGGTTTCTGGGACAGAGAGATATGATTTTGCCAAGGTTGACAGCAGTGGGTAACGTTGTGCATTGTCTTTCCTCCACTTGAGAGGACAAGCCATGAGTGAGATAGAGGTCTCTTTGCGGTACAAGTCAATGTCTACATCAATCTAACAAGTGTGCTGTGTTCAGCAGTCCCCATTACTGTCTTTAGTCGTATTCCCCGACTTATATTTCACCACATTCTGGCAGTGCCTGCATACCGGTTTTTTCTTTGTCTGTCACTTTTTCCCCTTTTTCGTATCTTTTTAAAAAGAAACAAAATGCTTCCACGCATCCGATTTAAAACCCGCTTTGCTCGATCATTTCCAGCTCTTTTTCTTCCCAGCTACTAGCAGCACACTCCATTTTCACATTACTGGATCTGTAGTGACAACAGACCTCAAAGGATGATGGCCACGCCTGGGCTGATGGGAATTGTAGTTCCCGCTACCTCCCATTCGCTTCATTTTCCTTTTTTTACTATTGCGGTATGACGGTATTTACAATATTGTTACATCCCTATTAGAACCCATAATCGAAATCGGATTTTTAAAATAATTGCACAGCCCTACCCCCCACCCACTTTTCACAAAGATTTAATGGTCTTCTTCAATTTTTTAAAGCTTCTGAGACATAAAGTCCTTAAACTTTAATGTGTTAAAGGCATTTTTGATGATAAACCCTGTCTATTATATTGCAATATTTATTTATATTTACTTGTTTTTATTTAATTATTATTATTGCTTTTTAATTTTATTTTATTTTTGTGTGTGTGTGGATGCTGCTATTTGGACTTCCTAGTTGATTAACATGTTTCTATGATTGGTTATTTGTTTCTTTCTCTATGTTCGTCTAAAGATTTAATAATAAAAAGTCTTAAATACATTAGTTTGTATAATATTGCAGTTAAATTGTTCACATCGTAAGTTGTTCATTTTATGACATTAAGATATTTTTTAAGTTTTACAAGTCATTTTTTCATGTCAAATATTAATTGTATTATTATTATTGTTATTAAAAAACGGACATATTAATCTTTTTGTCCAGGACATGGATAGTGACGCAGACACTGTAATCCTAGAATAACCCAGTTCTTTATCACCAAGAGCCCGTGATAACCCAGAGCTAAGGAGGACTAAGAGTGTATTTGTAAGTTTCTCACTAGTGTGTGTGTGTGTGCTGATCATTTTGTCTAAAGACTACATTTTAGTGTAGATTTCCAGTTGTATTGCTGAGATTGTTCGTTAACTGTCTCATTTGTTATCCATGCTATAAGCATTTTAACACATCAGCTCCATTTATCAAAGCTTAGACACTAGGGATAGCTCACCAAAACCGAAGACATTCTTCCAATTATTTACACTCCCTTCACTTGTTTGAAATCTGTTTGTATTTTTTTCTGTTGAACACAAAAGAAGATATGTTTAAGAATATTGAAAACCTATGACCATTGACTATTTTTAAATTTTTTTTTTATTTTTGCCGAACTATCATTTAAGTATATGGCAATAGCTGCATTTCATTGTCAGGCACAGAAATTCACAGAAATTCTCCGCTAATAACTCAGTATGAAATGTATGTTATAACATCCTCGTTTAGATAGACACCGTCAAACATTTAGCCCAACCGCTACGGAAAGACCTAAAACATATACATTTTTCTTTAGGCTATGACACTTAATAGTTCATTCCTCTTTATTTAAGATAACATATTAAGGATGCTGCATATTATTCGGTTATCTTAAGTAAAGTTTTAAGATAAAGTAAAAAAAAAAAAAAAAAAGGAAAGTTTTTTTTTTACGTGCAGTTTTTCCCAATCCTTTTGTAAAGCAGCACTGCTCAGGACTGGATGACAGAAAAGAAGGTTGTTTCTAGTTTCACTCACCCAAAAATGTTCTGTTTGCACGATTTGATTAATATAATCGTATCCAAATACTTTATAAATATATTTCAAACCTCCTCCGGTGTTTATTGTTTTTAGAAAATATATAAAATCTTTTTGTCAGATAGGCCTTTGTAAAATGAAAGTTAAAGTGACTTGAAACGATTTAATTTATTTGTATTATATATACCTACATTGTTATAGCTAGCGTTTGGTTTGTTTTATATTGGTTTATTAATTTATTTATTTTTATTTATTTAATGTGATTTTATTATATCCGATATTTGTAATTCTTTAAAAGATTTCAATATAGCTTAGGCTATTTTATCTAGATATTGTGTTGAATAAACTATTGTGTTGAGTCTCCAAAAGTGGACACGTCATTTGTTAGGTTTTATGTCTTTCTGTTGTATTTATATTTTGTATTATCTCCAAAAGATAGAAACCCAGCCGCTTACTGCATTAACAGAGCTGTCAAGCGAGATCTTTTTTGCCCGGTCTCTCACACAGGCATCTAAACGAGCACAAATGCACCTTTTAAACTTGACAAAAACCCTCGACAACCTTTACTGGCTGCTGTGTCTTTAATATGGTGTAAAGCTTATTATGGGTAATGAAAACATCAAGGAGGATGGAGCAAAGAAAAGTCAGCTCCATTAAAACTTTTTTTTTTATTTTATGCAACAGCCTTACATTTCAAAGAGAAACATAAAGACGATCATAAGCAAAAAGATCCCTAGCCGATAAGGTGTTTTATGGAATAGCCGTTCTTAAACTGACCAGCTGTATGTTTTTTTTTTTTTTTCCCTTATTTATTTATTTGTTTGTTTGTTTGTTTGTTTGTTTGTTTGTTTGTTTGTTTGTTTGGCGCATGAACTCGTGTGCAATTGGTAAACTAGTATAATGGCGGCACGCCATCTTTACCAGACTCGGGCAAAGTCTGCCTCTCCATTCACTTCACCCCAAAACCCCAGGTGGCCCTCTTTGGCATAAGGTATTCGGTGGGCCAAACAAGGCTGGCCGGTGGCCCTAAAGAAGACCTGATTTGGCCAGATCAGACCCTTTAGGTGCGATAGTGGAAACGCGGCAATTGACAGTGTGAGCTTAGGGAACCTATCTAAGCGCATGGAGCAAGTGCACATAGGGCATGTCCAAATTACCTTCTGCTCATTAAATGACGGGAAAAAAAATTACCTTCTAATTTTATATATGTTATTATTTTATTTAACACACCGGTTTATCTTCTGGCTGCAGAATCATAGCAGATCTTGTATTGACGCACTTCACCTCAGATGTAATTCGTTTTTCTTGTTTATTTTGTAGATAATTGGCCAACAAAAATGCATTAAAATTAAGATTACAAATTAAACCAAACAAAATCTGTTCCGAAAAGAGAAATTTTCCAACAAAAATTGGCTATAGTTCTATATGAAGTGTAGCATAACTATATTTTTGTTCGTGCTGGTGTGCTACACAGCTGTGCACTTGGATGATTTGTTTCGCTCTATGGAAAATAAGCATTTAATTAATGCTCCACGTAATTGTTGTATCACCAACCTCTGTCATATATTTGCTACATTTTTAATGCAAGTCATTATTTTAAAGATTATGGGCTGTATTTTGACGGTCCATGCGCAAAACGGAAAGCGCAAGGCGCAACCGCATTCAGGGCGTGTATGAATCCATATTTGCTAATATATAAATGGAAAAATCTGCTTTGCGCTGTGGCGCATGGTTTAAAAGGGTTGAGTTTATTTTCTTGATTAGTTATAGGTGTGTTTTGAGAATAAAGCAAAGTCTCATCTCCCATTCCCTTCAAGAGCCAGCTGCGTCGCGCCATAAGCGCATTT